AGGCCAGACTGAACATTAGTGACACCTGTAAGGATGAGTGGGCATGAGAAAATTTCAGTGTTTAAATGGGGGCCAGGATGGATCTTATATGCACTCAAGTAATTCTGGGTGACCAGAGGAGGGGCTGGGAGAAAGATCCTGAAGCTGGGGTGAGTTTAGGGAGAATTCCAATGGGAATGTCTGGGAGGTTGAATGGGGTCACAATGGAGGGCTAAGCTCCATTAGGGTAACAAAGAACTGGAAGATAGAGAAGGAAGAGGTTGATACTTTATTAGGGCATCAAACACTAGGCTTCTTCATTAGAATATCAAAGACTGGGCTTCATTAGGACTTCATAGGGAGATAGGGCCTAGGAGATAAGGCCTAGGAGAAGAGAGAGTCTATCAGAATAAGAATAATAGATAAGGAAAGGTCAGTTGAGTGAAGTTGCCTCAGGCAACATTTTGAGACCAAGTAGATGAGTGAGGTCAAAGAAAGTTTAAGGGTTTTCTGGGACCCCAGACAAATGGGACCCAAAATCTCTGCAGGGCAAGGAGCAAAGGTCCCTGCTGGGGCCCATACCTGTCAATTAGGAGCATAATCACAACCTGAGCCTCCAGTTAGGAAAGCCCACAACATTTAGGAGAAAGTTCGGCTTCTAACGCTGATTTACATTTATATTTATTTCTGGCCAACCCCTAGATTCTTTTCAGTTGAGGCTGTATTCAGGTTACAGGAAACGTTTCAGTGTGGAGGCAAGCCTAGTATCTTACAGTGTCAATAGGAAGGCAGCTGGGTAAAAGCCGACCTTCTTGGAACGTTTCTCAGTCTTGGAGGAGGTGGGTACGACTGCTGAGGTGACTCTCAGTCTTCTGCTTCAGGATGCCTGCAGGGCCCACCACCTTCCTTCTTCCCTTTCTTCTCGGTCACTGCTCAACCCTACTCTCTCTCTCTCCTCTGCTTGGTTGCCTCTGGTATCCTGATTCTTTCTAACCCAGCTCAATGTCCCAACTCTCTCCTCTCATCTGCCAGATCCTTGGTGTGACCGCATCTCTCACCCCCTAGGAACAGAGATCCTCTAGGCACCTGACTGGCATTGAGGTGCCCAGGCCCTGTTCATTGTCTGTGTCCATGCACAGTTGTGATTGATTCAATCAAGTAGTGTTCTCACCTAAAAAGGTAATTACTTTTAAGTGGGGGTGTGGTGAGGAGTGAACCCTACCCTTGAACCTTACCCAGGGATACTCCAAACTCCTGACTACATTTGCACTGGCTGCCTAGATGGGAAGACACCTGCAATGCCTTCCCCTCTATTTTGTATGTTTTGTCCCTAGTTTTGGGCATGTTGCCTCAACCCCACCCCATTAGAAGGGAACTCCATGAGAGAAGGGACTGTGTTTTTGCCTTTCGTTGTACCCCTGACACCTAGCACAATGCCTGGCACATAGTAGACACTTAATAAATTCCTGCTAACTAATTGGTTAAAATGAACAAAGCACTTTCCTCATTGACGGCAAAAAAGCCTAATATAAGATAGAGAAAGGAAGCATTATCATAATCTATCACAGCTCTGAACACATAGATCAGTGGCTGGTTAAGAGCATCCACCCCACATACTAGTTTTCATTCTTGTAGAAAGCATTTAGACCTAATACATCAGAAAAAAAATTTTTTGTAATGAAGTGAGAATGGCCATATCGGACCCATCAAACTGACCACTGTGTTTATAACATAACAGGGTTATCTATTTGGAGGGCATAAGTGTCTAGTTTCACTTTCAGAAACTAACCAGGAAAGTTGGGGTGTTTGTCACTATCATGTGTGCCTGGGAGGGTGACAATTCATATCACTGTGATGGCCACATCATTGGTCATTTTCTGGGCATTTATCCACACCTGCACCGTCTATTCTCAGGCCCTTAATTAGGAAGCACAGTATAGAAAAACACAAATCAATTAGCCTGCTCTCTCAGTGAAAAGATGCCCACAGTAGTTACTGAATCAGGATTGATCTCTTCTGTATCTAAACATCTCATCTCCAAAGGGCTGAGAGGAGGTCAGCCCTCATCTAGCTTCATGGATGGCCTTTCCAAGACCTCAAATTAAAGCAGAATATTAGCGATCCCTAATTAATCCCATCTTCTCCCATAGCACTCCCCTCATTTTTTCACGTGATCCAGTATTCATAGAATTCTGCAAGGACCAAGGGGCAGGTCATAAATAGGTGGTGTGAGTGACTAGAAATCTGTCAGCAGTTCCTAGGCTAGCTTTCTATCACTCTACCCCTCGTTCTTTCAGAATGAATTGCCATAAATTAAAAAACAATACAAGTAACAATATGGTGCTTAACTAGTCTGATAAATAATGCTTTTCAAATTTCAAGACTCATTTAAATATCATCTATTAATTATGGCTAGCTGTTTTGTTGCCAAGAAGAAAAATAAGCCAAAAGAAAATGTTTCTTGCATTTGGTAAGTGATGGTGCTAAACAAGATGATTCAGAGTACCCACCCCCCTCCCCAAAGCTTTCTGTATCTGTATATAGCATTTTATTATAACACAATCTCCTAAACAATAGGGAAAAAAATCATTTGTGAATAATGAGTTAATCATACAACATTTTACAGGTCATTAAAACAAAATGTAAAAGCATAAGGCATTTCATTCATTCACTTGGTACTGAATTAAAAATTTTGGTAATTTCTTCCATTCAATTCAACTAAATTCAACATGATATTAAATTTAATTTGACACTTCAGTGCCTATTGTATGCAACAGGTGCCTATAACATTATTAATGTTAATAAATAGGGATTGCGTGCCCATAGTGTACGTCATTGTCAGTATTGGGGAAGGTACAAAATTTAGACTAAATAGTCACTGCCATCACAGAGTTTATAGTTCATTAATTTGTGAATTTTGGAAATGAGTGACAAAATAAGTTTTAAACTTAACTTATAAACTTGGAAAAATTGAAATCTCAGATAGAACTACATGCCAAAACTACTGATTGAAAAATGAATGATTCAGGCAAATCAGTCGTTTTCTAATAAAAGTTGATATATTATAGTGAAAAGAGCATTCATTGATTGTATTGTGCAGAAGACCCAAGTCCAAGAACTGGCCCTGTCACTTATTAAGTGTTTGGTTTGGCCAAGTAGTTTTCCCTTTCTGCTTCCTTTCTTGTAAAATGGAGATGAGGAGTTTAAAAATGTTTCCCAGAACAAAAAACAAGAAGAGTGAGAGGATATTCCAATGAAGGCTTCACAGTTTCTCACAACACACGTAGCTCTAGGGTTATGAACTGTTCAGAAGATGAATTTCCTGGGACCCTGCGATTTCTATTTAGAATTTCTCATCAGAGGGAAAACATGATTTA